ACACACACACACACACACACACACACACACACACACACACACTTACACACCTCCTAAGAGAGTAGACAGGGTTGTTAAAAATTCATGGCAGAGCTTTGACAAGGCTCCTTTCCCTTCTGGGAGATATGGGGGAGGTGAGGAGAAGTGTGTGAGGAAAGATACCTAATTACCCATCTCTCGTTCCTCTGTATCCCTCCCTCTCTATCTTTCTCTCCGTCTAACACATACACACGGGGAGGTTATCAGATTACCCGAAGAAAGCGATGGCACAGTCATATCCGCTCTACAGAGCCGTGATTTGATGAGACCGCTCCCTGAGTGACGGTTCATCAGTTCATCACAGAGCGGCTGCAAGTTGCCCTCCTGCCAGTTGATTAGAAGCCAGCGTTGCCCCGTTGAATCACAAATTTAACACTACAATGGTTTTCTTAATGGGAGGGTAAGATTGGGTGTTATCCAATTTCTTATATTGTTGAACCTTCTCCAAATATTCCCTCAGGATACAGTTTTACCATCTGGATAAAAAATTACACATTGTCATGTTTCTTGTGTCGATCGAAGCAGTGGTGTGATTTCCTTGTTTAAAGCATTTGAGCTGCACTTCTTGTAAGAAAGGTGCGATAAAAATATAGTTGATTTATCTTATAATTCCACAGTTGACAAAAATATGATACATGTTCTGGTTTTACTCTCTGGACAACATCAGAATATGGAATTACATAGCACAGATTGACATCTATTAAACAAATATATCAAATAGTGTGCATATAGCAACTTGTTTGTGCTCACCAGGTCTTTTGTTTTGTATTCGTTCATGATAATGCTGATGCTTCTAATTCAAGGATATTTGATTTCTTTGTTCACAAAACGTTCTGCCATCACTTTCACAGCATCTTAAACCACACAAAAAGTGGTGCTACCACACTGAAGACATTTATTACATGATGGTAATAAAACAGACACCAATGTTATTATTATCAAATATACCCGGTATTATCTTATTACTACCCAACCCTATGAGAGAGCATAACACACTTCCCATTGCATGCTTGATCCAACAACTCATTAGTCCACCTCTCACTTACATAGATACCTAGAGCTGCACACAACAATAAGCCCACTCTATCACTGAATGACCACTGGAGACCTAAGGAGAGCCAACTCTCCCCTGCAGCCTTAATGGGGAAACGAGTCGTCGTGGAGACTGGGAATTGGCTTTATAGGGAAGTGGAGGGGTTTAAGGAATGAGGTGCTTCAGAAAAGGGGAGCAGGAATTTATTAAGAGTCATGAAATCTAATGCTGGCAGGCAAAACCCCTCAATACTATCCACAGGCAGCATTTCTCATACAAGTTGCTGAGCTATATTTTAATCCCAGCTGAACATAAAAACGGTCAAATGATGACCGCAACTACAGCTGTGCCTATCAATACTCCCAGAGCCAAACAGGACA